AAGTACTGCGTTTTGCCCTTACTCACCCAAACTTGTCAACAAGGCTACTTTATGTGAATGCGAGTTCCTTACCATGTATTTGTGAATCAGAGGTGTTTTATATATAAGATGAGGACATGACTGCAGCCGGCCATGATGCCCAAACCAGCACATCCAGTGCAAGAAGGCTTCGGCTTTTTAATTTGACTTAACATTATTTTATTTATCCATTATACTGAAGAGACCTTTTTGAAAGATATTGTTTTTTGTTTTGTTTGTTTTGTTTTGTAATTTTGAGGTGTTCAGTTTTATTTTGGTTTTAGAAAATAAACGTGATTGCTCTCCTCACAAAGCAACTCTTTCTTGTTGGTGTGTCATGCTCTCTGTGCTTGCACTGGACTTATGTCACTTCCTGTCTCCCGTGGTGTTTGTAGTCCGTGTGTTCATTGGTTCCCCTTGATTAGTCTCCCCAGGTGTGTCTTATCTTGTTCAACTTGTTAGCCCCCTGTGTGTATATATAGCCCTAGTGTTTCTTTAGTTCCTTGTGAGTTGTTGAATGCAATTGTTGTCTGTTTGCCAGTCATTCTGTTCTTTGTTCCCTTTACTTTTTTCCTTATTGTTTGTTCTAGTTTTCCATGAAATACCAGCACATAGATCCTTGTCTCTGCCTGTTTTCCGCAGTTTCTCCACAACGCTACAGTTTATCACTGGCATGTCTCTGTGACTAATGCATCTTTGAGCCTATATTTAGTATGAGTAAAACACTTAAGTACTGTTAAAATCAGATACTCTAAGGCTTTTACTCGAGTTGTTTTGGAATTGGTGACTTGTAACGTGTAGTGATGTAATTTTCACTGTAAGGTATCTGTACTTTTACTCAAGTATGTTTTTTAGTTACTCTTCACACCTCTGCTTGTGAGACGCGAGTGCAGCAGTCACATTTGTCCGTCTAAAACAAATGCACCGAATATGCATGTGTGTGAATGGCTTGGTTTCGGTTCTAACCTAATCAAGATCTTCCATGCATCGAGCTTCTATATCTCTATAATATTTAGAATGAATAATGAACGTCTCATGGGCTAGACTAACAAAACATTAAAATGCAACAACGTCACTTACGTTTACACGTTTTTCTATCATGATTGATGAAGGTGTACTGTCGATAAATATACCGTACCGTATGATACCGTTTTTAGGGCCCTTTGATTTGCGCGATGCAGAAAACGTGGACGGAATCGCAGAACCCAGTTATAAGAAAGGAATTTACAGTTTAATGCGGAATGTCGTGGAATTTGCCAAAGTTGGGATGCGTTAATCAAAAGTAGGTGATTACACTTCAATCAAATCACGATATGGACTAGTATTTGTAAATATTAAGCCACAAAAAGACTATTTAAACATCAACCCTGTGTTCTGCGTGTCTCTGTGAATGAATGGCGCAGACGCGCGGTTTTGTTTACTACACACATACTGAAGCGTGTGACGCTCGCGGTGTTTTCAGCATCTGTCGTCTCTCTAATGAGGACATAAATACATGAATAACATCTCCAGAACTGCTCTGAGAGTCACTTCAGCAGCATCTGACCGTTTCATTTGAGTAAAACTAGCCTCATATCACACACACACAGAAATGTAAGAGTTATTCACGGCATCCCGTCAAAGTTCGGTTTAACTTGAAGACATTGTCTGGCAGAAATACATTACTATTGTCCAGCAGAACGCACGTAATTCTACTCCTAAAATTATTAGAACCTAAGATATAATCATATTTCTTCAAAGGTTTAATTGTAATTGTAAATCCCCTTTATTTGCCAAAAAATTTAATTTGTTTAATTTTCATTAATGAAAATATAATTTAAATTGTTTTATGCCTTCATTTCATAACCAAAAAAATACTGTAAGAATAACTGAAACGAGTTTTTATGCATTCAAATAATTAAACCTGCTAAAACAGAATTTGGTAACAATAAAACATAAGGTAGAAAAACAATAAAACACTTCATAGGTAGGATTGGGTATCGAAAACCGGCTCCAAATGTCCAAGAACCTGGTATTCAATAAGATGCGTGCATTTAGATTCTGCTTAATTCCTGCATTCATATTTTAATATGATTTCACTGATCTTGACTGAATATATTTAATAACTTTAATCTACATTTTATTTATGAAAACTATGCAGTGTTTTAAAACTTTTAATTACAGTTTCTGTACCTGAACTTTGGTTGAGTTGTATTTATTTATGCAATTGCTAATTATTATTTTTGTTCCTATTTTATTACTGACTGTTTACTTGTCTTTAACACTTTAATATTTGAGATTTATATTAGTCTAGTTGTTTTTGCTGCGGTATTTTTGTTAAAAGCAAAGGCAGAAGTTCCTCTTGTAGGCCTAAGTGTTCTGTAGGATGCTGATTCTTGCTTCAGCTGCAACAGAACGCTTTGTAAGAAGACAGAATAAATGTTTGACATGTTTGACTTCATTTACTTTATATTGGATTTTTCTTATTGGAATGGAAACTAGGAATCGATAAAATTCAAGCGATACCCAACCCCATTCATTGGGCCCTAAACGTAATTTCTGTTAAATAAATTGATGTTAGGTTTAATGATTTTAATTAATTAGACATGCTTTCAGATTAATAAAATTTAATTTAACCATTAAAAAGGAGTCCATAAAAATTAGTGGAAAAAAAGAAGGATTTCATAGGGCCCTACATTTTATTGCCCAGGCCTACTAAACGCTAATGGACTTCTACTAACTGACAGATTTCCACTAGTATATTTAATTCAGTATTGAATAATAAAGGGTAGGCCATCTCAGAAAACATCGAATGCTGAGCAACAGCTGTGTTCACTAGAGAGATACATGTCTGGTCACATCATGTGAGTGCTAAGAGCCTTAACCGCAGGTACGTGTACGTACGTATATGTAGCAGGCCACGATGGAGACGTTCTTGAAGTCGAGGGCAGCGTCGATCTCGTCCATGAAGTAGAGTGGCGTGGGCTTGAAGTGATGCAGCGCAAACACCAGCGCCAGAGAGCTGAGCGTCTTCTCTCCTCCTGACAGGTTATAGATCTTCTTCCAGCTCTTCTTAGGAGGACGCACACTGGGAACGCACAGAACACACCAAGCTGTCACGAGGATGGCTAGACTGGGACCATACACCTCATTCACTCAACAGGTCTCACAAGAGTAAGACTTTAAAAAGTCTGGTAGCGTGTGACAGTCAGTCAGTGCGCGACGGAGGCGTAGCTTTTCCTCCATAAACATTTGCAAGCCTAGTGTAGGGCCCTTTTCAAATCAGGTTTATGTGTCCAAAATTCATTTTTTTTCCATTTACTCTTGTTGTGGCACTCAGTGATGGCAGTGTCGATGTGCTCCACCTTCAGCCGCACACTCAGAGACTCCTTCTGCAGCACGTGCTCCTGCTCCTGTAGGGCCTTGATCTGCTGCAGCACTCCTCGCTGCTGCTCCTGAACCTCCGGCAGAGCTTCCTACACACACACACTCAGACATCAGCACCGAGCGTCTTCACGTGTTCAGCGTCTGAGAGAGAGGATGAGACAGAAGCACCTCAGCCTGCTGGTACGTCTGCATGATCTCTCCCGCCGCCTCCTCCAGCTTCTTCAGCTGCTCCGTCAGCTCCTCCATCAGCTTCTCATTCTCTCCCATCTCCTTCTCCAGCTGAGACACGCTGTCCTCAGACTTCTTCAGATTACTAACACATCAGAAGACCACACTCACTTCAGAAACGAACCGACTGGCCCTCTACAGAGCTCAGTTCCTGATGCATCCTTCCTGGTGTGTGCCATGCCTCATCTTATTCGTTTTTGTTAATAAACGTTTTGTAAGCTAGTTTGTCATTGTATCCTACTGTTTTATTGTTGTTGTGCTTCTTAAGAATAGCAATGAATCCATATTTTGTTTTAGTCTTAAAAAGCGAAAGGTGTATAGATGCATGCAAGCAAAAATGATCTCTTCTTGTAAAACGTGACGAGATTGCAAATTTGAAAGTGAAAACATCCGAAGCCCGCGGCTTATAACACAGCAAAAGAGGAACTCCCGTTCACAAAATTCAAATCACAAATAATATACTGATGAAAAAGAACAGGCTGAATGTTAACCACTTTCACCTCCATATAATTATAAACAATGATACAAGTTCATCAGCATGCATTGATTAATCCCATGTTGTAGCAGAAAAAAATTAAAATTTAATTGCGACCAAATCATGTGCTCGATGTGCTTTTTTTTTTTTTTTAAGAATATAATTAAGAGTGCTAGAGTTAGAGGGTCAAATATAGATGGAACAGAAGATTCTTTATAGAAGAGCGCTCTCCATTCGTCTCATATTTATCTGAAGGGTTTACACCATACCTTTACATCCAGATGGTGTAATTGTGACTCAGACCTCTTTTGAGATGTGAAACTGTCTCAAGTAAATAAAATAAATTATCTCAGGATCAACATCAGTGGCCGTGATCACTGACCGTCCAGCAGTCTTGATGGCCACCTGGGCTTTAGTGATGGCTGAGGAGCACTCGTCCAGCTGTGTGCTGATCTGGTCCAGTTTGTCCTGCTGGGCCTTCAGCTTATGGCTGTTGATGTCCACGATGAGCGTGTGCAGCCTCTTCACCTCCGCCTCCACCTTTCCTGCTTTAGTGGACGCTGCCTCAAAGTCTTCATGAGAAACAAACAAAAGAGATGCACAGATGGACCGGCCAACACATGAGACTGTGAAACAGCATGCTCTTTGTCCACACAATACTGTCCAATGTTGAGTAGACCCCAATGTTCCTCAGAATGCCTTGTGTTTTCAGAAGAAAGTCTTGCAGATATGGACTGACAGGACTGAGTGAATGATGTACAAACGCACCTTTCCTGTAGACCTCCAGGCTCTTCTCCATCTGCTTCTGCTTGGCTTTATCAGGAGCAGCGGAGATGACGTTGGCCTCCAGGTCTTTGATCTGAGTCTTGAGATGAAGCTCCTGCTCGGTCAGGCTCTGTAACACACATCACGGGTCAACAGAAGCCAGGGCTCACACGTTCACGCTGATGTTTTAGCTGTGCTGTCTGACCTGGATGGTGGCCGTGTATTTCTCCAGCGTATTCTTCATGTCTCTCAGCTCGCGTCTGGCTTTGTGCACCTTCTCCTCCAGCTGATGCTTCCTCTGCTGCCAGTCCTGCAGCTGCGTCAGCTCTTTGTTCAACTCGCTCTCCATTTTATCCAGCTGCGCACAATCACACATCTTTAGCTAGGGATGCACCAACCGAAACTAAAGTTTTCTGTGTGTCGAAAACTGGAACTGAAAATGTTTATTTATAATCAAATAATGGATCAAATTGAAAAATAAAGTCCAATAACAACAGTCTTGCAAAAAAATAAATACAAATAATTAAATTGCACATAATAGTTTTAAAAGTGCCACTGTACGAGCCGCGTCTGGAAACACGTCCTGCTGTGCTCCACTGAAGAAGAGGAGTTATCATGTGATCTGACCTGCTCCTGAGTGACATCAGCGCAGACCGAGGAGCCCATCCGGCCCTTCATCACTCGTCCTCCTCCTCCGGTCATGGTACCTGAGGGTGAACGTGAGAGCGAGCTCATTACTGTCATCCAGACACATGATTCCACAACACAGACCGAATCCAGTCAGAAAAATGGAATTCGTATAAATCTTCACTACAAACCTGCCAAAATAAAAGTTTGGTTTAACTTGAACAAATTATAACGGAAATATTACTAATTGTACAGTAAAATGTACTTCTCAATGTTGTTAAAATAATAATAATAATACAATTTTAATTTGATTGCATTTTAAAATAATAAATTTCATATTTTATGCCTTCATTTAATTAACATCGTTTCGGAACCAAATACAAAAATATTAAAACAGACAACACAGAACTGCTGAAGAAATAAAGCATTTCATAAGGCCCCATTATTGAAGAAATTAATTATTCAAGTGTTAAACTTGTTAAATCCAGTGTTTCCCATGCATTGATTTTTTTGTGGCGCCCGTCACAACATCAAAACTGACCGACACAAATAGATTTCCCAAAAGGCTTTGATTCGTTGAAGTCAATTTTAATTCAAAATTGAAACCTGGTGCGGGTGTTTTTATATCACTGTATTTCTGAAGGAAACCGACTGTCTTCAGGAAATTTTCGATGTCATTTTCATTTCATCTTTCAGGTAATGTCTGATAAAGCAGCGTTTGCGAGCGCAGCACTGCTGTGTGTACAGCGTTACCGGGGAAACCTCTATTTCTCTCGCTCCGACAGCGCCTCCTGCTGGCAGAGAATGCATTTGCATATACATGCCGCCACAGATAGAGTGCAAGTCTGTGGGAAACACGGAATTAATTTATTTAATTCATTAATAAGACCTTTAAAACAATCCACAAAGAAAGAAAACACAGGAACAAACATTTCATAAGGCCCTAAAACTGTAATTTTTGTTAAACTTTTGATAAAAAGATTCATGAATTTATTAGACCTTTTGATTACTAATCCAGAAGAACTGAATTTGGGAGAAAAACAAATATTTCATAGGGCCCTAGAATGTAATTTGTGAATTTTTTTAAAATTAATTGTTGAATTAGATGCTCTTTTTGATTATTTGTATTTATTTTAACCATTAAAACGTAGCCCAGAAAAACTGGAGCTGAACTGAGCAGAACCTAATGAGTTCCTAGTGCTCTAGAGACGGGAGTAAACGCACCGGCCTGCTCGATGATCTGCCCCTGCAGCGTGACCACCCTCCAGCGCTTGTCCTTCTGGAACGCCACCCGCGTGGCCTGCTCCAGGTCTCTAGCCACCAGCGTGTCCCTGAGAGCGAAGTAGAACGCCGGCCGCACGCTCTCGTCCTTCACGCGCACCATGTCAAACAGACGAGGGATGCTCTCCGGAGTGGAGACGGAGCCCATGCTCTGCTGCCACACTTTCATCTGAACAACACCAAACACCATCAGCACTGGACTCCAGCTCTGAAATGAGGTCCAGCAAGCAATGTCCTTTCCTCACCTTGTCTAGGCCGATGAATGTGGCCACACCGATGTTCTGGGTCTTCAGGAACGTGACGCATCTCTGCGCCGTGTCAATGGTGTCCACTAAGATATTATCCAGCGAGCCGCAGCTGGAGGAGACGGCCACGTCGTATTTCTCATCGACAGCTCCCAGATCTCCCTGTTGAGAGGAACATGACCCCGTTTATCTACACAGAAAGGGTGCTTCTCAATATCCCTCGTTTCCTCGGACCCAGAAACCGATCGAGCTCGGCCATCTTGTAGGACATCTCAATTCTCTAATTACACATTAAAATTTCAAACAGCTTCACCGTGGTGTACAATTCTTGCTTACAGAAAATTCATATTTACATAACCAAGAATTTTGCACACTTATTATATTTTGCTTTAGTAAAAATTGTGTTCTTGCAACGGTTTATTAATTATTACTGTTGTACAGGACACAAATGTATGCCAAATTACAACAACTGTAGTAGCACAGTTGCAGAATTATATCAAAGCACAAGAAAAAGAAAGAAAGTTCAACAAATTGTAATACTATACAACAAATAAAAAGCAGTTTAGTAACTCATTGTTAATAATAACAACTGGTAATATTTAAAAAAATGAACAAATGTGGTATTTTGTGGAGGTTAAAAGTACTACAATATAAACGATTATCTCTAATGTTGAAGAATCCCGACGTGCAAGCTAAATCCAGCGGAGTCGGGTCATCATTAATCGACGACGCTTTGAAGTGACGCTAAAGGGAGCGAGGATATATAATTTCACTCCGCGTCCTTCCCCCGCATCCCGAAGGGTGGAGCGGAGACGCGAGGAAAGGACACGAGGAAGCACAAATAAGAACTGAGAAGCAGCCAAAGACGTGAGGGACGTACCAGCCGTCCCAGGATGCCCGGGATCTTCCCCGAGCGTTTCTGCTGCATGAGGGAGTCCAGCACTTTGTTGCGGCTGCGGTTGGAGGACAGCGAGCTCTTGGCTTCAGCCACCTTCTGTCTCATGTCTCCAACCTGCATCCGCTTCTGCTGGTCCTGCTCAGAGATCTGCTCCAGCTCCTGCTCGTCCTGCAGCACAAGCACACAATCTCACAACCAACGCCACATACAGTACATCCAGCAGCTGGCTCGTTCTAGGGTCCGCTCAAGTATTTTACACAAACCTGATAATCATACACCGCCCTTCAAAAGTTTGGGATCAGCAAGATTTGTGTTTTTTTTTTTTAATGGAGGCTCTTCTGCTCATCAAGGCTGTATTTATTAGATCAAAAATACAGAATGAAATATTACTGCACTTTCTAGTATTGGTTTCATGATCCTTCAGAAATCATTCCAATATGCTGATTTATATATCAATGGTTTGTTAAAGCAATAAGCCCCGTGAAGACGTGGTTTACAGTGAATTTATAA